TTGGTGCATGCGCAGACGTTTTTCCGCGGTGTTGCTTATTAATTGGTCAAACGAGAAAATATAGCAAATGGGTAGACTAGGCATTAATTGAAAGCGTCTTGGCATTTAAAGTATGGAATGAAATATAATTCATGTAAAAAATTGTTGATTTTAACGGACACGACTTCGAAAATATTTGCAAAATTATTCAAAACAAAAATTCAAACTCAAAAGTTAAGAAAACTCTCGAAAAGTTAAGCTTCTTAACCCACTCAAATTGTAGAATAAATCTTAAAGTTTAATTATTGTGAACACGAAATTTTTTTATATTTGGCGACACAGTTTTTTTTAAAGAAATGTATCTCAAACGAAAATTCGGAAATTGACGTTGCTTAGTTGATAAACAAAATGTTTCAGACGATAAATTTGTCAACAATCACCTTTAGTTCATGTTCTTGTACAATACAATTTCTTGAATCTTCTGGCTGTATTTATTCCTAGTTTTTAGAATGACATGTTTATTTTTGCGCTCGAAATCTGGCTGTAAAGACGCACAATGAAGTCACTCCTTTTTACCGCCATTTTGAGCCTTCGGAAACGTTCGGAACAGCTTCTCATCAAGTTCGCAATACTATTACAGGTAAGGTTGACGCATGCGCAGACGTTTCTCCGCGGTGTTGCATCAACATGATTATCATAATCATCGTCATCGGCATCATACACAGGGACAGGGTATCGTTGCCAAACTCATCCGAGGCTCATGGTACCCGAGGCTCATGATACACGTGTTTCACAACTATGGGACTACGGTTAGTTTTTGGTGAGGGCGAAAACCTCACCTTCAGTTCATTTGCTCCGTCACATTATGGACCGAAATATTCCCTGCACGATTGACTATATAATTTATTAAATTTTAACCTTCATAATTGGGTGCCAATCAACGGATAGTCGGCAATATTATTATGATTATAACTCACCCATTCGCTCTCGAGGTTGTATAGAACTATGTACAATGACCAGGTCATCATAATATGTTTTGTTGTCCACCAGAATTTTACGGGATATATTTCCGTTGAATACATTCATCTCATTTATATATAATAAATCATGATCATTGTTCAGGTAGTAGAGTGAATCTCCAAGCACACCCAGTGAATAATCATTTAATAATCCATTAACAATAATTTTCCGGTCCAAGCCATTGTAGTCAGTTGAAAAAATACGGTGAACGCTGGTTCGATTCTCGAGCCAGTAAACCCGTTTCTTGGTGCAATCAACAATAAACCTAGAAATATTCCGGTTTGCCAACATTACCATGTCAAAAGGAGCCAAACTTATTCGCCGTACAAAACTTGCAATAGGCTCTGTCCAAAACAAATACCTATGGAGCAATGAGGGACGACAATGTTAACAGACGGGTACGACTTAGAATTCTTTTTTATAATTCCTTCTCCCCATGCAGATTAGCTGTTTAATTGTTAAATATGTTGCTACTAAATAACTACATATTTTACTGCATTCCGAGGAAAATGCCGAACGGCCGTTGGAAAGGTGCTCTGTAATTGATAAATTTACGAAAATATTACTGAAAAATTTTACAAATTTATACGGTAAATTATTTCGAAAGTTAGTGAAAAATGGTATGTCAAAGAAATATGATTAGATACTAAAATGTTCGTCCGCCGGGAACGACTTCGGTCACGCCCTTTTTGTCGGGCAAAACAAGTTCACCCCACCGCCACGCCACGCTTCGCAATGATTCGTTTTCAAATAACAAATCATAAAGATATTCTTCAAATCGTAAAACTTACTTCAATGTTGCATCAAATGCTATACCGGACGGATAACTCGTTCTCTTTATAAACACGAGTTTCTTTTTAACACCCAAATCTGCAACGAAAATCTGCTTTTCTAAATATTCAGTCCAGAATAGACGACGTGCCAACCAGTCGATAGCCATGTCACGAACACGAACATTCTGTAAAATGACTTCTACGCATATGTCATCCAAGTTCACCCGGGATATGCTGTTGTTGTCTGCGATGTATAATTTGTTGTCCACTGTGTCAATATCCATCGCCCTGCCTGCAATTCCACCGATGACGACAGTTCTGTCCTGGGTTGTCAAATCAATGGCGTGGATTTCAGACTTTGATTTGATCAGCAAGTAAGGCTCAGCATAGGGTCCTGGAGAAAGAGTGACGTATCAGTACAAACTATTTGTAGAGTTCATGCATTGAACTGTTGTTATAAGATCGCTTTATAAACACAAGCGCTTCAGGTGATTCATCGGTAATTGTTCTGGAAATGAGAATTCGCTGAAACTTCCCATGGGTCTATTATATGCTCATAGTAAAAACAGAGAAAAGTTGAGGTCATCGAACCCATTGCGAAGATATGACAAGTGCAACATGGTGCCGTCTTGACCCTTTTACGAGTTACAGGAACAATCGTAATTGCTCAACCGTTACTGAACTTTTTTAACAAGGTTCTACTAAAAATGTCTATCTAGTGATTATATACAAGAAAACATGGTATTTTAATCTTTTAAAATCAAAAACCATTGACGTGCATTGTCGTGGTGCAAAGGTGACAGACACGTTATTTTGGGGAGCATGCGCGAAAAATGTAAAATATTATAAGTTGTATAGAAATATTTTTTTCTTATTTTCTGATATGACATGTAAAATGTAGGACAAAATATAAAATAAATAGGGTCACGAACCTTTTTAAAGAGATACAGGGGTTAATTAGCTAGAATTTGTTATTAGATATGCGCAGTAAAAGTGTGCAATGCAAAACTGACGAATCACGTAATGAGAAGGCTGCTTCACACGCAAGTGAAAGAAAAAAGTGAAACCTTGCTATGCTTAGAAGATAAGCTATACATGTATGCATTAAAATAAACGATAGAAATCAGCTTAAACTCAGAAATTTTCTCTAAGTTAATCGACCAGAAACAGTTTTTGCGGGAAATATGGTCTGCGCGCGGAAAAGTTACATCAACATCAATGGAATGCCCCGCTTTTTCAAACTATTATTCCCACGCGTATAATTGTTACAAGGGGTTCTTGCGAGATCTTCTGCTTTACATTGATCTCCAAATATGCTATATGTAGCCTGCGAACAGGCTCTCAAGCTGAATTGAGAGCCTGTTCGCAGGCTATGCTATATGTAAAGCCCAGTGATATGCCTTGATAGCCTCACGTTAATAGCGTATATCTGGTTTTCGAACGATTTCTGGCGTCTATTGTGGAACAGTAAATCAGCAAAGCACGTTCAACCCGTTCCAAGCTGATTGGCTGAGTGTGACAGAGTACAGAGGTGTGGCAGAATTGACTTTTTTGGTTCTTTATAAAGCCGACGTTTCTATAATATATTTTAGAACATCAAGGACATTTTTATGAATTAATTTATTTAAAGAAATTTCAATCAACACTAACGCCGAAAAGAAATCATTTCATGCATAACATTACGTGACGTGACGCGAGGAACGAATTTCAGAAATTTTTGGCGAACGATTTAAGCGAATGTAATTCATCCCCTAACATTTGTGTTTTCGTGGTAAAATTAGAAATATTTATTGGTTATGCTATTTTTGAAACCATTAAACCGAAAAGTAATAGAAATAACTGCAATATATTTTTAAAAGAAAGAAGATCATTTTGTGAGCAGACTACATATTGATTTTCATATGTTTTAAAAGGAATCAGTCTGAAAGCAAAATACCTTCGTATGAATAAGTACTTTACTAAAATAATTCTACAGTCAGCATGCATGATGCGCTTTAATTAAAAAAAATGCTTTTCACAACCGGAAATATAGATTCTTTCCTGGAACTATGTGTATTACTACCAATGGACTTTACTTTGATGCATCGGAGAGATGAAAACATTAAAGCCCCTGTACTTCGTCTTAAGTAAGCTTAAGCTACAGTCTAATATTACCTTTATAAAAGCATATATTTGTGTACATACACATCCTCTCGTGATTGTATTCTTTCTCCGCTTCACAGCTCGGTGTAGCAAGATTTTCACCTTCACCATTCAAGCATCTTCCACTCCAGTCTTTCTCGTCTTTTCTCAGTTCTTTCAACCGCTTGTCACAAAACGGGATATCTTCATTACAAACGACCAGACTTGTACCAAAATATATCAAGACATGAATGCCAACAATGATCTTTGTTGCAATAAAAATCATTTTTCTTATCTCTTGGTAACCAATCCGTTAGAATGTGACCACCGTCTGAATAAATAAAAATTTTAATAAAGGATCAAGACTTCGGGCAACTCTTTCAACATAAATGAATGATGAAGAGATTTTGATGAAGGAAACTTCAAGTGGAAATTATATAGCTTTCTAAACCTGAGCAGCTGCGAAAAATGCAACCATAAAACCTCTAAAATTATAAAAATCTAACAAAAAAAAAACATTAGATATAATATATTCCTCCACACCTTCAACTTATATTTCCGATTTTTTGTTAAAGGGAAATGGCAATATATTTTTTATTTTCTCATTTTGAAAGAACTTTTAAGACTATATATATAACACTCTTTTACCGTTTTTTTCATATCTTGCTTACTTCTACAAATATTTTGATCGAAAGGAATGAAATGTCCGCCAACTTCAATTTTTGTAGATATGCATGTCACGTCACAACAGGGGTCACGCAATATTTTTATCTAGACGGTTTGCACTCAAACCTATACTCCGTCTGCCCTTCAAAATATCAAGATCACTAGCTCAAAACCTTTAAAACATCTATCAATATTTGGTCAGCAACGAATACTTTTATATGGTTAATCCCTGTTGTGACGTCACCAAAACTGCCGTTAACGAGATCAAAAATCTATCCAAGATGGCGGACATCTCATTACTTCAAGTGAAAATATTTCAAGAACTAAGCAAGATATGAAAAATCGGTAAAAGAAGTTAATATATAGTTTCAAAAGTTCTTTCAATTGAGAAAATGAAAATTTATATTGCCATTTTCCTTGAGTTTTTCCTCTATACACAAATTACATCATTTTGATCCTCCCGTATAAGAAACAGCGCAATACAATAGTATATTGACCAAGTTTAGTCGAAATCTTGTTTGTTTTCTTTTAATTTCCAAATATATTTCGAAAGTTCTGCGCCGTTCGAGTACTTTTTGTGATTGAACGACCTATTGTGGTTTCGGTATCGCTCTTTAAAGGTCGCAGAAATAGGCAACGCGGCATCATTTGGTTTAACCCTCCTTTCAGTAACACCGCGGAAAAACGTCTGCGCATGCACCAAATTATGAAAATATGGCGGGGAATTTGAATATCAATTTCTAAAACAAAAACATGCTTATTAATTGGTCAAAAATTAGTAAAACAAACGAAAAAATATAGCAAATGGGTAGACTAGACATTAATTGAAAGCGTCCTGCCATTTAAAGTATGGAATGAAATATAATTCATGTAAAAAATTGTTGATTTTAACGGACACGACTTCGAAAATTTTTGCAAAATTATTCAAAACAAAAATTCAAACTCAAAAGTTAAGAAAACTCTCGAAAAGTTAAGCTTCTTAACCCACTTAAATTGTAGAATAAATCCTAAAGTTTAATTATTGTGAACACGAAAATTTTTTATATTTGGCGACACAGTTTTTTTTAAAGAAATGTATCTCAAACGAAAATTCGGTAATGGTCGTTGCTTAGTTGATAAACAAAATGTTTCAGACGATAAATTTGTCAACAATCACCTTTAGTTCATGTTCTTGTACAATACAATTTCTTGAACCTTCTGGCTGTATTTATTCCTAGTTTTTAGAATGACATGTTTATTTTTGCGCTCGAAATCTGGCTGTAAAGACGCACAATGAAGTCACTCCTTTTTACCGCCATTTTGAGCCTTCGGAAACGTTCGGAACAGCTTCTCATCAAGTTCGCAATACTATTACAGGTAAGGTGGACGCATGCGCAGACGTTTTTCCGCGGTGTTCCTTTCAGTAAGAGTGTCAAAACCAACATAGGACGCAATTTTCTCAGCCTGTTTGACAAACATTTTCCACCTCATGCACCACAAACTTCACAAAATGTTTAACAGAAACACAGTTAAGGTCAGCTGTAGTTACATGAACAATGTGAAGTCCATCATCACTCAACATAATGCACGCATAATTAGGAAAAAGCCAGCCACAAACCAGGTAAAGAGGCGCAGTCTCCTGAAATGTTTGCTTGTCCGATGAGAGAAGTGAGATGCGCTTATTTATGGACGTAGGTAGTTGTTTTATGATGCTAGGTGGATGGTTTGAGTGTCTTTGTATATCTAATGGATCGTCATTGGGTTTCTTATAAGGTTTGTATTTTCCATTGCCGAGGTCGAAAGTGATATTTAAGAAGTTTACTAGACGTAAATTTGCCTCTGCTGTGATTTTCAAGTTAAACTGCTCGAAAGTTTTGTGAAGTTCTTTTCTCGTTTTATCTGCCAAACATGCTGATTTACGCAACGTGCTACGATAAGCTGTGTCACGTGCTACGACACGCTGATCGATGCTACGTGTTACGACGTGCTCACTGATGCTACGTGCTACGACGTGCGCATTGATGCTACGTGCTACAAGAGGGTCCTGAAGGGGTAAAATGGGAACTGGGATTGATCTATTTTTAGACTGGGAAAATGGGATTTGGGTTGCTGGGACTGGGATTTGGCCACTGGGAATGGGAAATGAAGTCCTCAAAAATGGGAATGGGATTGAGGTAATGCGAGTCGATTCCCAATTTTTCTGCGTTTGGAGTATTTTAAAATACAATTTTTATCCGTTTTTGCGGTGTCCTTGGTCATGATTTTTGTTGTTAACTATATTATTCACAGCGTTACCTGCGAACAGGCATACTCTGGCGCCCGCAATTCTGGGTTTTCTGATTATGCGTGTCTCAGAATGCTGCAAATGCCATTTCCGGGATTCAAATTTAAAAATAAATAAATCTACCAATAAATAAATTTATTGACTGGGATTTGAATAACTGGGACTGGGATTTCTAATAAAAATCCAACTGGGACTGGGATTTTGCCAAAATTTCAGGTGGGAAATGGGATTGGGACCCCCCCGCCCCCTTCAGGACCCTCCTACAACAATAAGATGTGCTATACGTGCTGAGAAAAAAAAAACTCTAGCTGTTATCTTAAAGCACAGCCAGTGACGGCATGACACAAAAATACAAAACGCCCGATAACTTAGGAACAAGAGGTCTCGCAGGGCTGCAGGTTAGATTCCAGGGTCCTATAGTTGCATTTTTTGGAAGTGTTCCTGGTTAAATCTAATAATTGTATATAAATTTCCACTCGATAATTTCCATCTACAAGGCCCTTCAACTATATAACGCTTTAATTCAAATAAATACATATTCAAAAGTAGAGATATTATAAGTAATGTCCTGAGTCCAGAGTGAAAGTTAGAAGGGCATACGTAAGGTGTGTAATGGGAGTAAGCTAAATTTTCAGCAACAAAACCATTTTTAGTCTTCCGCGTCGCTTTCGGTAAGAATTAATTTCACCTGTTCAACTTGACCTCCTTTTCTACTTAACATATTTGACAAGAGGGCATTCGGAATTTCATTAAGCTAGCTAGTCTTATTCATTATTTCACGAGATTCATTTACGGTTGTTTTATTTAAGTAATTAAGAGGACAAAACGGTTAAGGATTAAGAATACCTGCACTGAGTTTTCGCGCGGAGGGGGATTGACTTATTTGAAACATAGTCAGTATAATCCCTCTTGAAAGGCTGCACGTATCACTGGCACGTATGCATACTTCCGCCAGCGAATTAATTATGTTATGCCATGCATAAATTATACAATGGACTAATTGCGCATTCAGTTTACTCTTCCGGGAAAAAAACAAGACAAACTTTTGCTAATTTCTCGTCCAAATTTAACCAAAATTGAATCAATTGTCCTTGGAGAATGTCCATTTTTCTCATAAGTTTTCGTATCAATACGTTGGATATTTTTTAAATCATCTTGCTGACACACATATAAGCCGGTTACAGACAAGTTTTCTCAGATCACAAATATTCATATGACAAGTGTTATTCGCACATTTGTACAGGAAACTTTACCAATTTTTCTAGCATACTAGCTTTTGAACAAGTGCACTTGTCGTAGGAAAAATTGGCAAAGTACAAATTTTGTTCGTCTGTATGGGTCAACAAAGAAAGTAGTTGGGGTTTTACATTGTTATATATAATAATTCATAGTTGCTCTGCGTCCGGCATCTTGGACTTAACATTTTTTGAATAATTTTAAATTAATTATGCAAAATACTGCTTACGTAACTGTACAGCATTAGTGTTGATTGATCGCAGACTGTTTCTCCGCCGCTCCAGGGGGGTTCGGCTGAGATCAGTCTGCTATCGCAGACTAATTGCTATCGCAGACTCAAGCCCAGGTCACACTACACAACGATAACGATACGATAACTTGTATACGCGCGCTGATTGGTCAAAAATTTATCGTTATCGTCCGACTGAAAAAAAAATCGCTCAGGTGAGCGATTTTAAAATTGTTATCGTCTAACGGTAATTTTATCATTTTCGTTGTTGTGTGGACACTAACACAATTTTTTTGACAATTATCGCGTGTTTACAATTTATCGTATCGTTATCGTTGTGTAGTGTGACCTAATCATAGTATAGTATACTAATCATAGTATAGTATATATATACCTAATCATTGCGATACGCTTCGCTTGCGCACGGCTGCGTTGTTATGTCAGCGGTTGAGTGACCATGGCTATACTTCATGCAGTTAATGCTATAAAGCTTATCAATGATAACAGCTATAAAACGATAAAACCAGCCGCTTATCGGGCAACCTGTGGTTGTAATTATTATCATTATCACTACCATTCAAGAACTCCATATCACGGAACTCCTTTCCTACTTAAATATATGAACTCATTCATAATAAACTCATTCATACCTTTGGAATACACGTCCAATTACTTCTGTGTAAAACAGTTCTTAAAAATCTTAAAAAAAATATATCAGAATGTCTTTTATAAAGTCTCTAAGCCATCAGTATTCATTATCAAGTATAGAATTGCACTATGAGAAATCCTACCGCCTTACGATGAAACTTATCAAAAATACGTCAATAATCGATGATTGAACGAAAACATTTAATACAGCCTTTTTTCATCAATCTCACAATCTGCCATTACA